ATTAGATTACCATAAAAAGTCACACAAATACATATATCGACTAACATAATAAGAAACATTTAAACCATACATAGGTACTCCTACAGTGCGTTATACGTATAGACAAACGTACTGAAGAGCTAGTATTGCATTAGGTATCCCCAGAGCCAGTCGGAGAGTCGCAGCATCCTCGTGGTCCTTTGGGACGCATTACGAAAGTACTAGACGCCACTAGATCGATACATAAAGTTACTACATTACATAGCTGTTAGTTCTGCAACAAATAACATTGTTCTCGCTACTCTGTGAACTGTAAAACTGAAGGTAGTTTAGTTTGGATGGTGTGCTGTGATGTGACATTGTTTTATGTATGTAATTAACAGATTAAGCTTTTGATGGGAGTATATCTTTTACCCAGGAGATGGTTATCCTTATCGGGACGTCTTCTAAGTCTAGTGGTCGTAAATACGTCTTGTGAATGTTATCTTATGTCTTGTCCTGTGTTTGTGTACTGAAAATCTCCGTAGTGTCACCACGTCTGAAGTAAAACTGAACTCGATGCTGGGGGAAATCTCTTCAAAGTTTACATAGATCTATAGTTGGAGCCGAATCGGTGATTATGGTGCTTCATAGTGAAATTTTTAGTAGTCGCAAACGTTATGATATGCCTATTTTAAATTAGTTCAGCGATATGTTCAGATATGAGAATTGAAATTGTACCTAATGCTCATAGGCTATTGGGTAATTGGAATAGCATTCTATACTTCTGGATTTCAAATAAAAATCAACTAGACAAGTTGTGAGTTATTTTACTCGACCGATAATGGACATGGTACTAATCCAAAACGTAGTTATGTTAATGCATTATTTTGTTACACACAACTAATACATATTATTACCTAAATTATCTTAATAAACCATGTTCTAAAACGATCAACCTAAACTAAACCTACACCTAGATTAGGAAACGAATGCGTCAGTGATGACGGCGGGTCATCGTTTAAGCCTGCAGTCTGGCTGCAGAGGATACATACATTGCGACCGCGAGCCGTCACTGATAAAACGTTGATATTAGGGCGCCGCGACGCCCGCGACCGCAGCGCGCCGCGGACCGTCCATCACAGGGTCCGACGCCCTCCCATTGACGCGACGCCATTAATTGTTTACTTAAACTACGTACTAAACTAACTGACGTAATTTGAATGGAACCCAGGTGCGAATATTGGCGAATGTGTAAAGCTAGATAGTCAAATAAAACCTGCATGTTAGATTTATTTCAGTTTTTGAGTTTGTTGTGGTTAGATGTTTGAATTTAGAACGTTGTGAACTTTAAATACTTATGATAAAAAATTTATTATTTTCGATAAATAAAAAATTCAAAACTTCAAAGTTATTACGATGCAAAATGTTCGTCTTGTAAGTTATAAAAGTGTTTGACTTTGAGAGGTGTTGATGAAAAGTATCGGTACCTAGATCAAACACGACTTCATTAAGCTATCAATAAATGCTAACACAGTTTAAACTTTCATTTTAAACGACATGATTATATGGCAAATTTTAAACTTATCACCACCAATTATTAAGCCCTTCCTTGGTAAGGTAACATTACCCTTACTCTTAATTAAAATGTTTAGAATAGAATAAGTGAATTAATAAGAGTTTTTAAATAAATAAACCTCTTTGGACAAAGGAATTTTAAAAACCCTCTCTCTCTCTCTCTCTCTTTCTCTTTGTAATTATAGTTTTGAAATAAATTAAGAAAATATCTACTTAATTTAAGAATTAAAATCATTATGCAAACAAAAACACTTTTTTACATTAAATTAAAGCTCCAGTACAATGGATATAGGAAGCTAGATATTTAATCTGACCCTATATTAAATAATATTACCGTATCGCATTCAGTAAATTCATTAACGAAGAAAAACATATACAGATATAATAAAAATCCCTTATAAAGACCCAAAGTCAAAAACGTTTATAAACAACACTTCTAATTGTATTTTGTTTTGTACAAAATATAAACAAAACTTACGTTTCAAAGACCTCGGCTTAGCTTGTTTCCTTCGAGACATGATCCTTCCACGCTACACACCGATTAAAAACGTAACAATCACTTCATTTCATCTTCTATCACTTTGAACTTTATTCGCACAATATCGCACGGTTATGAAGTAGCGGTAAAGTTTGTCGGGAAAGTAAGAGTGTGTGGAGTCGGGAGAGGCGCGGGACACGTGCCAGGCGCGGGTCCGCCCGCGAACTGAGCTTAGTGGCGCCCAACAAGTGGCCATAACAATATTGTAACCTTGCGCGCAAACTCGTAAGACATGTGCTACCCTGCTACTTCGACAAATGTTTGACTCTTCTTTAGCATAACTCGACACATGTTATAGTCGTATTGAAGTACCCTCGCCTAAAAGTGTTTGTTAGCGTCTTGTATTGTAATGTTTTGATTGGATAAACAAACTTTTTGAAGTTAGGAGAGTAGGTATGTGGCTTAACTCGTCGAGTACCGGTTTTATAGACACAATTAAAGAACAATAGGTCGCGGTCACCGGTGACCGCTTGGTGTTTGACAGTTTAAAAGTGATTTTGACATAGGAAATTAATATGAATGAATTTGTGTTTAAGTTACCTTCCTAGGTGTCGATTTTAATCTTTGTTCTAATTTCTTCACCAGTTATGTTTCGGAAAACTCAATAATATTTTGTCTAACGCGGATGTTGAACCAAGACATCTTGCTTAACAGTCGCGTTTGACCACTCGACCAAAGAAATAGTAATGAATATACTAATGAAATAGTAATGAATATATAACCGCTTGAATGCCTGTATATGAGACACAATAGAATATACATTGTGTCTTGCGTGGATCCAGGTTTAAACACACGACGGGTTAAATCAGATTTGCATTTAAATGTCAATAGATGTTTTAACTGCAATGCACATGCTATTAACTACTTTGATACACCTTTGTTTACTAACCGGCATAGGGTTAACTAATCGCTATGCGCACAATAAAAAGTAAGCTACACTTACATGTTTCACTAATACTTTAGCTAAGTCGATTGAACATAAAGTATAATATAGAGATGTGAGTGCTACGAACTTGCTACAAATATCTTTTATGGCCAAAATGGCAACCAATTTTAATCAAATCTTTAGGAACTGCAGTTACATTTTTTATTTATAATATGTGCTACTTTTTTTAAACAAATACTATTCTTCAATGAAATATTCTAAACATAGCTTCTACGGATATATATTGTGAATTTGCTACAAATTTTCTTTACAATATTTTCTATATCTCTACCGCTACGTTAATAGGTGCATTGTCTGAGAACATGTCGTATTGCAATTCTTCTAATGCTATAAATATTATTAAATGCTACGAATTTTTTTAAATTGTACGAAAATAATCAAGTGCTACGAAATCGAATGAATGCTACGAAACTATGATCTCTGTATATTCACTACGTCACAATATTTACTAACAAACAATCGCACACAACAATATGCCAAGGATTTTCTATATTAAGTTATCATGACTTTTTAAAATCATTATATTTTTTTTTATGGTTTAAAAAAAAACGTTGCCCCACACTAGAATTTTCTCCTGTGTCGTGGGTGCGTTTACAAACATACAAGTTCACATACACAATGACACCCAGATCCGAAACAACAATTTGTGGATCACACAAAGTGTTGTCCCGTGCGGGAATCGAACCCGCGACACGTTGCACGGCAGCCGGTTGCCCAGCCACCGCACCAACCGTGCAGTCAAAATTCTCTTGAGATATATTTTTGTGTTCTGAAACTATGCGAGGAATTGAGTGCTACGAATTTGGAAGTTACTGGCGGAGGCCTATGTTTAGCAGTAGATGTCTTGTGGCTGATAATGATGATCATTTATAACTTTTTCAGTGCTCGTAAGTATGCATTTTTGTAAATGTTAGATTATAAAGTTAATTGAGGTGACGCGGTGGCTGGACAAATGACTGCCGCGCTACGTATCATAGGTTTGATTCACACAAATGAAGTCTTTTTGTAATTGACAAATTAGTGTTCCGGGTCTTCATGTTATGTGTATGTGACTTTGTCAGTTCGTAAATGCACATGCCGCTATGTAATGCATAGAAGAAAACCTTAGTGTGGGGCAAAGTTTAAAAATTCCATTATACTAACTGAATTTTAACATTTGAATTTACTTACTTCTATTTATAATGTGTCGATAATTTTAAATGGGCCATGCATTTTTTTACATTATTTTTTTTGACGTAAACAAAATACTCTGAGTCAAGTTTGATTTAAAAAAAGTCTTGTCATAAAATGACAATTTGTACTACTGGGTTGACCACACGATGATCTTTACCCGATTAAAGGGAAATCAATATATAAAAATTGTTTGATATCCATTTTTCCAAAAATATTACCAAATACCAAATAAAACGTACAATTAAAAAAATATTTTTAAATAAAAAATAACTATTTGAGTAACTGGATACGATATTTAAAAGTTGGAACGAAGTTTCTTGATTTTGTTTCTTGTTTACTTTCTTACTTTAGTAACCACATTACTTATATTATTACTAAATTATTATTTTCTACACAAGTACTTGTGTAGAAAATAAACTTTCTTTTGTCTAACCTGTGGACAGCGCTGTAGGTTGAATTATAATTATAATAATAATAATTTTCTTTTATTACTATTGAACAGTAGACACATAAAGTACTTTTTATAATGTTACAGAACTGATAATTTACGTCCATATTTTTTTCTTAATACTACTACTTAGCTTAACTAAAATACAAAACAAATAATACAAATTGTTATTGATGCAACTTCAGTACAAGGAAATTTAAAGAATTAAGATGGCAACACTAGATGAATGTCAATGTCAAAAGAGTCAAAAACAAGGAGTAGGAAATTAATTGGATTTTAGTACTTTCATAACAAATGATAAAGTAAAAAATAATCCCTTGAAACATTTGATTATTAGCTGCAGTTTATTTAAATCGGATATGGAGCTACCATTTGAGGTGTGTATATGTTGGTTTTAATTTATTGGAAATCCTTACAATACTTCCGCATTTGTTAACTCTTTTATGATTTTCTTTGTTTGATCTAAAGATCAATTTTTTTCACGTGATATCAATCATGTAGAGAAGTTGTGCTCAGTAATAGAAAGTCGTAAGATTACTCAGTACTTTAAAGTAACGTATTTCTTTATTTTTATTGAATTTCTGGAATATTATTGTTTTGCTTATGAATTTTGACAATATCTTTTTAATATCATATTACACAACTTTTAGGTGTTAGTCTATCTATTCAAGTACTTACCGAAATCTGATAGAAAAGCAGCCAGTGAAACATGTCGCTCCTGGTACTTAGCTGCTAATGATCAGTGCTTTTTGAAGAACAAAGTTGCTGTATTTTACAAAACCATTTTCAATGAAGAATCATCTTCACCACTTCAAATATTTGAGGACTCACCTATCACATATTACAACTACTTATTCAATGAAGTGGAAATATCAAGTAAACAAAATGAATTCTGGAACAAACTGGGTGAACACATACAATGTTTGACACTGAGGAACTGTGATATTTGTGAAAAAGTATTTGTTCACATACTACAAAAGTGTACAAATCTAGAAACATTGAATGTACAGAACTGCAAGGAACTCTTTATGTCTGGATGTCTATTAGAAGGGAAGAGTGAAGGATTTCTAACTGAAAATCTAGAAAATTTAAAATCTTTGAGTCTGTCAGGAAATCAGTACCTCACAGATGCACTGTTCAATAGATTTACATCAGCTGCACCAGCATTACAAGAGTTGGACTTGTCTGCATGCTCATTGCAGTTCCATGCAGGTTTAGTTAAAAAGTTCTACCCGCCAGGTACTGACATATTTTTAAACCCTTCAGAAAGTGTATTGACATTTTATTTTATACTGCAGCTAATTATAAGTAGAGCCAAAAATATTAAGCGTTTGCATTTCTCTTGTACTCTGATTGATGGAGCTGCACTCAAGGCTCTATCAGAAATAAAAGATTTAGAGCTTACCTCATTGCAAGCACATTCCTGTGATCAGCTGACTAATACTGGTATACTATCTCTGACAAGTTATCAAACATCTCTGAAAGAGCTTGACATAGGCTTGTGCACAAGAGTAACTGACCAATCACTTGTACATATATGTAAGAATCTAGTCAACCTGGAATCCCTCAATATACAAAGATGTCGAGCCGTGACTGATTTGGGAATAACAGAACTGCACAAGTTAAAGAAATTAAAGTCTTTAAATATATCGCAGTGCGAGCTGCTGACTAAAGAGGGTCTCGAAAAAGGGATTTGTGCTGGAGAAAACCAAAGTCTCGAGGAACTGGATATCAACTCATTGAATATAGATCAGACTGGTGTCATTATGATCTCTGAAAGGCTTCCTAACTTGCGTATGTTGAACTTGAGCTACTGCTTTAATGCTGTAACAGATACTTCAGTACAAGTCATATTTAAAAATCAATTGCTTCTTCAAATTTTAAAACTGAGTCATTGTGACAAGGTGTCTGATGCTGGATTAACTGGTATGGGGAAAGTCGAAATAAAAGAAGGTGAAGATGGTCCAATAATGTCGAATATTGATGAATCACACATGTCACCTAAGATTCACTTAGGATCAAGAGCAGAAGAAGAAATAGTGAGAGATGCTAAACGAAAGAAAGATGTCATGCTTATGTGTGAAAAACTATCAATGGATTCTTACACCGGCTACTCACTTGCTCGCTTGAGGAGCCTCAAAGAATTGGATATAAGTGGATGCAATAGAATAACAGATGTGAGCTTGACCTATGCTTTTAATTTCAAAGAACTGATTAAACTAAATTTAAGCAGATGCCAGCAAATTACTTATGAAGGAATAGAACATTTAGTCAAAAACTGTCCCAGTATTGAATATATTAACCTGATAGATTGCTATAATTTGAATGATAAAGCTGTTGAAGATATAACCAAAAACTTGCAGAGATTGAAGCACCTGGAACTAAGGGTAAGTTGATATCAACAATAATCAACATTAGATCCTTATTGGTCAGTTTTCACAGTATAGAATCGCGGGCTCAATAAGGTTTTTTCGATAGTGAAATTCTTTCAAACTCCTCATATCAAAACTAAATACAGAAGTTACGCTGACCTCTCATTAATATTAAGTATAATACTTACCTATCTATGTTTCAGGGTTGTAATCAGCTAAGTGACAAAACTTTGGAAGCTGTGAGAGCATATTGCAGTAAGCTTCAGTTTCTGGACGTGCAGGGATGTCGCCACATGTCACCCGAACTGGCGTGTTCTATCGGTTCTTTACCTTCTCTGCATACAGTATTGATGTCAAAACCAGGACCTTACATAGAAGATGGGAAAAAGAATAGAGCTCCTGCCCCTGCATTTTTACCTGCTTTAATGAGAAAACTACGCTTACATTAAAATTTAAAAGGCTATAAAATGTAATAATGCTACACTATATGTAAATGTATTATGGTCAGAGTCATATTATTGGAACATTAGAATTCCGTTAAGCAAGCTGCCTCTGCTAGTATGAAGCCTTGTGATTGTGCTTGCCATCAATTGGTAGTTATGAAACAATTACTTAATTTATGGCAATAAATATATAGTTACATTTCCAGTCAATTGTGGTAGTTATAGGAAAATAGGAAGTAAATAAAACCGTTACAAAAGCGATTATAATCGACTCTTTCCTGTACGTCGACATCTAGTTAAAACGCAATTACTTGTAGAATTACTTTTACTATCTGTGACGGTCTCAAGGCCAAGGTAGAGGCCGGCGACAACAACAGCCGACGTTTTATCCATTATGTACAGAAATAAACATGGCTCTGAGCAAACCCCTATAAAGTTGTGTATGGTGAGTGATATAATATTATAATTATTTTAAATTGTTTATTTGGTGTAGTTAACAGCGATAAAATATTATACATTATTTTATTTGTATTTTAAAATTATATAATTTATTAATCAGTGTATGTAGTTGTTCTATAGTATTGGTAAAAAATTGGATTTCCTGAACCAGGACTATGTAATTATGTCAGCTGTGATAACAATTATTATAAATTAAGTACAAATTATAAAAAAATACCTATGTTGCAATAAAAGTTTTAATTATGAAATGACTTTTAATCCATTTTATAGCAGATTAGACTACCCCACTATTTAATTGGTAAATACATAAAATTACTAGGTTATTTTATTTTAATGATATCATCATATAGCTACAATCCACTTTCGCTTGGGATTCGACAGGGCTTTCCTAGTAAAGGCACCTAACTGTATAAGGTCTCCATCGCTTATTAAGATAATATTATGTATTTTACTCATTTTATCATCAATAAAGATTATTTATTACTATTCTGATTTTCTAGGTGTATTACTACCGGCAGCAAAAATAACGAAGATCCCCAAAGGCTTCAAAACTATTTTGTACCGATTTTGAGAATTTTTTCACTAAAAAAAAGCTATATTATCAAAAAGTAACATAGACTGTGTAGGTACTAGTTTAAAATAAAAACAAAAAATATAAATTTCAATATTTTATTACATTGAATTTAAAAATAACTTATATTAAACATAGATAATGTATTCTTACATACTTGATTTACCTTAATCTTACCAAACTTTGTTCATAAACATATTTTAATGTTATAATACAATGGCTGTAGTTAAAAATAATTGCTAAATCTATTGTGGTTGTATATATTCCAGTTCTATAATAAAATTATTTTTTAAATATATGTAGTTCTGCAGTGTACACCTAAGTAGCATTTACTTATTCATATGTAAAGCGGTTTAGTTACAGATGCGAAATCAGAAACAGAATTCCCTTTGAAGAAATTATTTCTTGAAGTCATTAATATACCTTATATAAGATGTACAATTTTATTTTAAACTCTTTGAAATAGGTTTTTATAATGCGTACTTTTATTTAATGTATATTTTATGCTTGCTGCGATGCAATGCAAACATGTTACTGAGCGTGACAGAAATGAAAAAATGCAAGTTCATTATAATACTTTCCAATTTACTGATGATATTGCGTAGGTTAATACTCTAAAATTAGGACTTACATAACATTATAATAGTCATAATGATTATATACTTATATCTTATATACACAAAGTATATAACCTGTCAACAATTACGAATTAACATTTTATACATGAGCGATTCAATCTTAAACCTTTTAGATAAATTTTGGTAAATATTTTTTAAATATCCCTGTGCAAATTTCTACAAAGGCAGTCATACTGCTATTTAAGTTACATACAATATAAACAAAAAATTGGTTCGTTTGCACCAAAATAAATAAACACCTTTTAGTGTGATTAGCTAGCAGTGCCGATGCCGGCACACTAAAGAATTTGATGAAGTTGTAATATTTAATCGAGACACGACGACATTCTTTCAGAATTGATAGTAACTAGCGTGGATTCACTTTTTAGTGCACGTCTAAATACGTGGCTTCAGATCCTGGCATGCTGTACCGGCACCATAAAGTCATAGCCACAATACAACACAATTTTGATTCAGGTTTTTCTATTAGTAGCTAAGCCCACGAGAACAAATCTCGCAGTCCGCGTACCTACCATGAGGATTTAGTACATAAGATGTCATAATGTCTCCCTTTACATTGCACTCGATGTTTTGTTAAAGAAGAAAGATATGTAATGCACAGCATGTTAAAAGAATAACTGACAGGAGGGAATAAACCGCGCGTCATTGCGTCGTTTGTTGTAGTTATGAAATTATCCGACATACAAGTTAATAGTTAAATTTAAATGAGTTAATCGCCGAGTTGGAATGAAGCCGGTACGGTATGCCTTGACCTCAATTCTGTAGGACATCCATATCACCATCTGAGATCGCTTTAAGTATTTTTTTGTTATACAAAATATATATCACCGTTATGGAACGCTCTACACATACTATACGAACAATAGCATGTCGCGATATTGTTTATATTCCAATTTAAATCACTGTAGCTATTATCCTTCATAAGGCACCAAGCAATTGTAGCGACAATCACGTGCTATATATTCATATTTTAGTGTGGGATGACTTCCATTAACTTTGTCTTATTAATTACTTGAAAGTGCAAAGAACCTCAGTCACTCGATAAACATACTTACATGTTATCACTATCCTATTCCTTTACAAAGTGGTCATATATAAAAGTTTATCTACTATAAACAAAACAAATTATTTAATTTATTGTTCAATAAGCGAGCTTATATAAGTAATCACAAGTTTCTCATTAGTCAATGTTTATAAAAAATATATTTGTATGTACTGTGATAATTACACTGATATCATTTGTGACAAAACAAATAGACTCCAAAGCTCGATACCTTCATAAACATGCGGCTACGTGTAATAGCTTTTGCTAGCAACTCCTTATTGCACTGGATGGAAAATATTAAATAGACAAAACAAAAAACTTACACCTACCTAGCATTTTTTGGTAAAATTTTGTATTTGAAACATTATTTTCTCCCAAAATTAAAACAACCATTTATGTTGTTAATAATATAAAATTGTTAATGGAAATCATTGGTTAAAATTTTATAGTACAAAAAAGATACAACAAATTATAAGTTTATACTATTGACAACCCAATCAACTAAAATTGGAATAAGAGCTATTTATAAATTACTTGTTTCGTATTCTTCCTCAGTTACATGTTTAGACTACACTAATCAGTTATCGAACTCAGTCCACGCGAAGTATTATCAAAGTGATGTACCAAACTTTCACTTGCTAGACGAGCGCTTCTTCTTGTGCCGTCGTTTTTTAGGCTTTTCTCATGGTTTCAGAGAAAAGGAAGGCGAACGAACCTGCATCTGTGGCGTGTTTAGCGTCGAGCTGCTGGGAGTGGGCGACACGCACGGATCCTGAGAGTTATCGCACTCCAGATCTGGCATGTTTATATCCTCAAAGTCTGGAATATTCCCTGTATACGAGATTAGCTGATTGCCTTCAACTGAAAGTTGCCCAAAAAAATATTATTAATAATTTGATTATCGATTAAAACCGACTGCAGTTAACTACTTACTAATATTAAAGATAGTCTATAATACTAGAGAAATCTACTTAACCAATAATATATTATAGTAACTGTATAAATGTAAGAATAAAACAATGTCATATTCAACCATGCAAATACTTGAAAAGCAATCAATATATAGCTATGTGGTAAATAAACATAATATATTGTCAATTCAATTATTTGACTTTTGCAATAGGTAGGTATACGTTTGAGAGCAATATCATACCTATAACATAACGTCTTAACTTAAAATAATCACTACGTACGATATACATACAAATACAACCCACGCCCAATATTGGTAAACAAAATGGAACATAAAAGATAAACGCTATAAAATGCAGCTTTATAGTAATTACATTCTAAGCGCTTAGCATTTTAAAATTAATTAAAGTAAATATTATAATATGCTTTCTCAGGTGAAATAACAACATAATACTAACGTAACGCTTAGAAACCGATGATGAGGGATTAAAACATAATTGCCTCTGGAAAAAATAAGCACTAAAATGTACTAAACAAAAAACGGGGCATATGAATCATCGGTTCCAATTTTACAGATATCAGAATGTAAATCAAATTCTACAATTCTTCGTGCAAATTATATTTTTAAATTCTACTTTTGCGTTAGATATAGAGGTACGAGAACTTAATTACTACCATTATCCTCAGTAAACAGGTGCGGGACGCGAGTGTCGTCACTGCTTACATTCGATATCTCACCTTTCTGCTTCTTTGCTTTAATTAACAATAAAATATAATTACAGTTAACACATAACATTTATAACTATTGTGCCTTACTTTAACATGATTCTAGAACTTAGACATACAGTAATTTCACAGCAAACACTGTCTTTATAAGATGTCGCGGCAAAAATGATATTCTTAAATATAAAACCACTTGGTGATACAGGTTAATCGTGTTTGTAAGAACCCATTATATATTTACGTAACAATATCTTTCTCAAAGATAAAATCTCCAAAATATTTAAAACAAAATGCTATTCACAAAATATAACTGATATGATATTTACAATACAACTGCTTTAAACAATTGCGCTTCTGACAAATATTATATAAGACTGGTTGACAAGGAAGTCAGAGACAGAGTCAGTTTTGTCGCGACACAATCTACCTAACATCTGTAGCACTGACCGGAACCACCACGACTATATTAACCCTTTACCAAAAACATCCACCACGTCATGTGGCCCAGACGCGGTCAGCGTTGAATTAATCTTGCGAGATGAGGTAGCAACAGGCTACTTTGTAGAGGAGGCCTCGCTGTTACCGATCAGCCAATCAAAATCAATCATCGGATACTGTTTGGTTGTATCTACAATTAATATAAACGTGAAATATAACTCTGAAAACACATGCAGATATGGATTGGCCTTTAGATCGTAGGTAATGATTTTGATGGAAGTCGTGCGTGTGCGTTCGATTTGAGTGATGTTGTAGGTAGGTATATGCTCTTAATACTACTTATATGATAGTCACCAAGATAGCATACACCTCGGACACAAGTGTTCAACTCTGCCCTACTAGTTCCTACAAGCTCTATTAGTATGTATGTGTGTAGTTGAGTTAGCGAAGGATTTACCTCGTGTTTGGTAGTGCTAGTTATGATGCGTCATGAGTGAAATAGCAACCTTTGTAATACCACTTGTTGACAGTAGAATATTACGAAGTCTTTGGACAAATCTGCTTCCTTTGGACATTGGTATGTATTTGAAAATTACATACGGATAGATAATAAGTTAAAAATTTTGTAGTAACTCACCATTGTTAGTAGGTTTCGCCCTGTCATCCATCGAGTTATATGGCAGCCCGTAGAATGGATCATCGGAACCAAATAGCTGTAATAGCAATAACAATAACACTTTATTATCTTTTCTATCGCCGAAAACAAAATACCAACGATTACAATGACAATGATAATACGAGATAAAATGATGGATACCTATATCAAATATGATTTTAAATTTCGAAAATTGTACTATATGTTCATTTACACATACGGAATTAACTAATGCGACAAGCGTTAGTTAAGCGTACAATATCAAAGACCATCCAATTACTTCTACGACTATAATGAAAGCGACTCATTATAAGTCAATAATATCAAATATCCATAAATCATATTTTATCTAGCATCTAATAGTCCTGCTTTATTATATAATTTTTACATAATTATTTGTTGTGGGCTGACAGGAAGGAATAGCGAGAGACATCGAAGGTAATACTCTTGCATCTGGAGTCTATGGACAATACAAAAATAATTTTATTCATTTTTCCTCAAATAGGTGTTTAGTGAAAAACACAAGCTTGAATTATTCTTATAAAATAAAGCCTACCTAAAAATAGAACTCAAAAGGAGCATTACTATTGAAAAAACAATCATAACAACATTATATAAACTGTGAATCGTAAAGTATGCGAGCCGGTTCCTAATACGCAGACAGGTATATCTGTGTGAGTGAGAGCGGCTGTGAGCGGCCAGTGCGGCACACGGCTTCGCACGCGGTACCTACACGTTGTCTGCAACGTGACTGGGGCGGCGCTACCAACCTAACGACCTCAAATATCAATGTTTACAGCGCGCTATAGACTGAATCTGTAGATGTGTGTGTCATGATACCGATGGGCACATTCACAATAAACAAAGTTTTTTAGTATTTTAATCAATATGTTACGAAATCTGTATCTCAAAAGTGCTATGAATTTTATTATAATGAGTAATTCATAACTCATAAGACAAAAAAGCGAATAAAATACGATTTCAACAATCTTGAGATACAGAATGGGGTAAGTTGTGGGTATTAAATTTTAGTACCTAGGACACTTTTAGCGGATGAATTAATTAGAATTATCTTCATCTAAATTTATAATTACATACCCCCAATAATGTGTTGGTGTCAAATGTGTAGCTATCGCTTCGCAGCAGCTCCCTCAAAGATTCAAGGTCTGTCTGCATTGCATCCAAATGGTCATCAATATCATTCCTGAAACATTTATAAATTGAATTATTATATGATACATATAAAAAATAATCAAGGTACAAAACAATTAGTGATTATACAAAAACATTATCTATTATCTTAGTTTATAACAATGAATGTATGAGAAACAAGAGTACAATTGAGTTCATTAACAACTTATAATGATACAGCAGGTTCAATGAGAAAAATAAAATTTTAAGCTCCTGAATGATGATATTAATTTCCTTTTTTCCCTTTAAAGCAATATGAGTCATTTTAGTAAATTATGCAGCAGTGACAAAATTAGCAAAGCTTTAATTATGCAATTGCTTGTCCAATATAGATACTTATCAAAGTGTTCAACATAAGATTTGCAAATAATACAATTTAAAAAATACTTATAATAAATATTTATACAAGGCCACATCTGCGAATTGCCAATTCAGACTTATTATCATATATATTCACATACTTGTTTGAATTTGTTCCATAGAGGGAAGAATATTCCTCCCGATTTTTGCTGAGGTTATCTCTCCTATTCCTGAGTACCGAAATCACATTCAAATTATACACATGTAAAATGGTCACAGGTAACTTTGCAAACCGTTGTAATGGCGTAAAAGTATATAATTAGGTTTGTATTTTTTCACATAGGTATTTTGATAAATATTTTACATAAATAATATTTAATTTTAATAGAGTGTAAAAGAAAAAGAACTAAGAAAGTAAAATTATATACCTTGATTGGAATTTGTTAGTATTGTTGTTCACAGTAGCTAGTGTCATGTTGTTCCAATCAAAGTCATCTTGGAGTTCAGTTTTGATATCAGCCAGATTCAATGTGTTCTCATTGCTTTTGGTGCTCTTCTTTGACTTTTTGTTAGAATTTGATGTTTCCCCAGCCCCTTCAATCTTAATGTTTATGCCACCTAACATTTTATCTTTAGATGCTGGTAAAAGAGACTCATCCACTAGATCTTGTAATGCATTCTGCATGCTTATGTCATCAGCAGCAGTAACACCAGCATCGCTGACAGAATCATCACTTGCAAATATTTCTGCTGGTAGTTTCAGATCAGCTGATGGGTTCAATGAGTTGTAATTTCCAGTAAGAAGAGTTTTTCCAGTTGATGTTGTAGCTCCCTTGTTAACAGATTGGTTGCGGCCTTTTGACTTGGGCGGCATTTGTCCTTCAATTTTAACAACAACTCGTGGTGAACCCATCACATTGTTCACTGGTGGTTCAACTGCCATTGGTTGGTTGATTACTGGAGTGACTGGTGACGGTGAAGCTGATGTTATGATGGGCATGGTATCATTTGCCCTCTGCATACCATTAGTCGGAGTCACTGGATATACTAATCGGGTCACTCCTGGAATAACACCAGAATTTAGATAACAGTTTCATTATAACTAGCATTTATTAGATATTATGTACAAGTAATAAGTAGTACCTGCATCAGCGTCATCCCCATCTTCCATGGTGACATGATAAATGGATGTTGAGGGATCAGTTGGACTGTGGGTATTCATAGTGTTGGACATATTAGGCATGTCCACAGAAATAAAATCAGATTCATTTAACGAGTCTTGTGTGCCATCATTATGTAACATGTCATCATGTGCCAATTCATGAATAGTGGGTCCATCCTCCTATAAAGGAAATTTATACACAAAATTAATATACCAATCCAATATGGTTGTCAATGTCAACTTATAAATAAATACATACCGGATTATCTTCACTCAATTCATCCATTATACTTTCTTTGTCTAATTTCAAGTTCTTTAACTTTCCAGGGTAAGAAGCATCTGTTGCAGAATTATGTGCAGCATTGTTTATCATCAACTGGTAGGGCCTCTTTACACCACAAGCATTCTTAGTTTGAGGAGATGTCCTAGGTGGTTGTACAAGTGACATCAGGAATTGGATAAGCTAAAACATGATAAAAAATTACTAATCTGCTGTTTGTTATGTAATTAATTGGATGTTAAATTAAATAACGTAGTATACTAACATTGTTTACAATTTGTTGCTGTTTAATGTGTTTTTGTCTCAAAATTGCCACTTCTCTCCAAAGTGCTTCATTTTCCTGCTTCATAGCACTGAATTTAGCATCAAGAGACTCTTGTTTGCCTTTCATCTGTTTCACATCAGATAGCACTTTGTTCATAAGCTCTGGCTTCATAAGAACTTTCTCACCATTTTCATTACTAGCAACAAGTGACTTTGGGTTGGCAATTTTCCTTTTAATGTGTTCCAATAGATATGCATGACCTTTCATAAAGCAGGGGTGAGAAAATTCTATTTCATCTTTTTCATATCGCAAACCACCATTTTCCACAGAAGTTATTTTATGAAATCCATACATATTCAATTGCCTAATGAAGCTCGCCATATTGTTATGTTTGTAGTACAAAGGGAGGAGCTCCCTTGCAAAATCTGCCTGATTTTTTATAACAAATGTTTTCCCACCCTGTAAATAATAAACATTATATTTCATCTTATAAGAAACAGTGATAACAGGAGGCCATGATGAGTCACTATTTAATGTTAGTTTAGTAATTGATTCTGTAACAGACTTAACTGATTGAAGATAAGACCTACATTGATATTACACACTGCAGATTGATCAGGCACACACAATGCATTGATTGTTTACAGTGCCTACTTCATTACATACCATACATTATTAAACTTTCATTTAATACTGTCATGACCTGGCTGGCCAAGGTTCAATTTCCAAGTACTAGTTTATGTTCCTCAGAAATCTAGAAACTGTTTTCAGAGCTACTTGCAAGCTAAGTTTCATCAGTGAAAAATATTCTAATTACAGAGAAATCATTTTAATTGACAGCTGTGAAGTCTTATGATAAACTAACTCCCTTCCATACTATCTAACTACTTATACGTAATACATAAAAAGACAAACATCCTATTCATAATCAATAACATCTGAAAGGAAAACGTTTTTAACAATAGTCTAATATCTTTCGTCTACCAAAAATATAAACCGTTGCTTATTAATTCACGTCAGGGGCCGAGAGCATGGTATAAAACGTGACCTGTAACTATTTATTTATTTATCTAGTTTCACAGGCAGTCTGTCAACTTGCAACATTTTTAGGTTGTTTTCGTAATGACTTTCTAATAGGAATTCTGCTAGTAATATGCCCTAAAGCCTTGTAAGATAATAATAACATAAACAAGGCTATTTTTAAGTACGATATAAAATAAAAAATACATACAGGGCTCCAAGAAATCAGATGATTCGTCTCCGTATCATTCACCAGTTTCCATAATTTTCCTAGAAAAGCAGGCACACTAGCCCCAATTTCTACTACTGAACGCATGTTAAAGTTAGTTCAATATGTAACACTGTCTATAAAAACGACTTTTTAAAAGTCCTCTATCAATATTTCAGAGAATTATTACAAAACACTCAAGAATACGGTTCTCAATACGCCATTTTAATTATTAACTCACACACTGTCAATGGTATTGTTCACACCAAAGAGTATAATAAGTATAGGGGTAAAGAGTTACCACTCGTCAAAATTTACGCCAATCAATTTGAAACGCCATCTGAAAATTGAATCCTAGTATATTTTTTTTTTACTAATGTCTACAGATAATCCTAAGTATAGCTAATGCCAATACTACCAACAATGCACCTTGCAGGTTGGTACATTGAAGGTAGTATTGGAATTAGCTATGTCTGGTAGCTGCAAAATCAAAGAAGTTATTAATTACAATATTACATTTATTTTACAGTAAATACAAATTAACATTTAAAAATTATCAGCTAGTAGGGAAATATCAGACGACAGATTTGTTCAAAGTATAATTCAAATTTTAGTTCTTTTTAATTTTATGTTTACAAATTTCAGATATAAATATGTCGTTCAAAATTTATTTGAATTAGGTATTTTTTTAATTATTCCACAAAGAACTAAAATTAAAAATATTTACTGTTCACCGTTGTTTACACAGTACCTAACAGTAGTTAACAATCTAATGATATAAATTAACCGTAATACCTACACAAATGTAGTACATTTTACCATCGATTTGAATCGCTTACAGTATTTACAAAAACACAAAATTATTATACAATTTACATACATAACATAACATACATAACATCACGCCTTTTTATCCCCGAAGGGGTAGGCAGAGGTGTACATTTCGGCACTCAATGCCACTGTACAATGTAACACCCACTTTTCACTATTTATGTTATAAGTCCCATGTAATAGGGGGTGAGCCTATTGCCATATACCGGGCACATTTCCAGACTACTCTACTACTACTGAGATTTTTTTAAAACCCAGTAATACTTTGCCCGACCCGGGTATCGAACCCGAGACCCCTTGCCCGGCAGTCGCACTTATTATTATAATGTCGAAAAATATAGTGCTTAAAAATAAGTCTCAGTCTGCCTCTCAGTCAGTCTCAGTTTTTAGTACTTTTTTTTGCTAGTTGCTAATAATGCCTGGCTTAGTCGTTTCCTATATCTAGTTATATTACAGTCATTTTTACTAAACAACTACAGATTTTTCCTATCCTCAAATATAATATTTTTATAACATTATAATGAAACAAAGTAATATTATTATTATAAATACAAATGAAAATGAAACAGGCAAAATAATGTGGGAAATCCCAATTCAGACAGACTTCACAGTTGCCCACAACAGACCGGACATAATATACACAAACAAAACATCCAACACTCTTTGACATAACTGTACCATGTAACTACAACATAGGAGCAAAAGAAATTCAGTAAATACCACTTTTTAAAGACACAACTCAAGGCTAGACGCCTTGAAATATTGAAACGCATGTTAATTCTATAGTAATTGGAGCCACAGGAGTAGGTACTAGCCAAAACCCTCAGCAGATACACAGACAAACTAGAAACATAAATAGACATTAGCCACCCTTCACACAATAATCTTTTCGTCACATACATTCCAGATTCCGATCAATTACAACCATCTCAAGCGCAAACACCACATACCACTCAGTCAACCATCACATGAAGCTCACAATCCACATCTGGCACACAAACTACACCCAGTTAGTAGTCAAGTAGTCAGCAGAAGAGAAAGAAGGAGATTTATAAGTCAAATTTAGAAGGGGCTATGAGCATCGTTTTTCCTGCGGGTTGCGGAAAGCGGTGCCCATTTTCACTAGGTCAAGCCCAAGAAGGAGAGACCTCTACATATATGAATACAAATAAGTAAAACCTAGAATAATGCTGCCAGTCTTTTGGGCACCCTACTCCACGATAGCGATGAAAAAGAATTTTTTGATGCCCTAAGGTAACTTTTTTTTTAAGGTGTGAATATGTACCTATTTTAGTTTATTTATAATTTAATATTACTTTGTTGTGCGTAGGTACTTAAAATGTTGTTCTAATTATGATATATAGATTAATACAAAGATAAAAATAGTTTTACAAAAATTATACGGTTTTAATATTTGCAGCGATCTCGTTTCTTGTTTCTTGAGACAATAATATACGTCTGAATGTTAGAATAATTCCAAATAGTACCTGAAAAAAAAACAAAGATTATTTTTACATGCAAAAATATGTATTTTATTTATTTGTTTTCTTTTATTTATCTAAGGTAGGTGTACCTTACGTGATATTACTGATGTTACAAGAATAATATAGTATTTACCATCTCTAAAATAGGTTTCAAGCACTGCTGGTATAGATCGGCACTTTATCCGGACCTCGTAAGACTCGTAACTGCCGAAAAAAATTGCACTATTGATATTCTGCAATAATGATGCTGAAGTAATATCGATGCAATAGCAATTCCAAATATCACTGTAACAAATATACAAAAGAAAAAGTAGAAATTTATAAAAACTACATAGTTTGGTATCTCAATGAATCAAATAAAATGTATAAATAGGTTCAATAGCAAAAATCATAAACTTGTTGTAGGTTTTACCTTCAGCAACATGATTGTATTCTTCGTATTGATGTTCTTTATTATAAATAAGATATATACGCAAATTAAAGCGTTCCTTTGTAAAATCAATTCCAATGAATAGACAAACAAACACAATGTACTTTTGTGATTTGTGATACACATGTATACAAAAGGTCCTCTATAGAAAACACAACACACATCGCAGAACTTCCTTTTTTAGAAAAACAATCACAAAATCCCATCACAAATTATTAAATAATTTAAAATATTTTTGGCAAAAATTTTTACAATTTTGACATTTCAAATTTTTGTTTTTGTTTCTTTTCTTTATCAAGCAAAAAGTATACATATTATATGCCAGTATTAAAATAGTACAAACTACATGCATACTATTTTATAGAAATAAGGAGATAATATAAAAAAGTATTTAATATCAATATCTAATTATTAACAATATTATTTTAATAGTTATTTATTATCTAAATAATTTGGAAAATTATTATTGTAATGTTTTAATATTTTTTTAGCCCCAGCGTTGCCGTAAAAAATAATAATTTGACAATCCATATAGTACAAGAGCCTATGAACCCCAGACCTTTGTTATTTATAACGGACTTAAAAAAAAGGAAAAGTTATATACCTATAAGGTTTTTTATGTTCCTTCAGGGATGACTTCGTCGTTTTTTAACGTATTTTGATGATTTTTTTTTAACCGACTTTAAAAAAGGAGTATCAGTTTGACCTAAATGTATAAACATGTTACAGCCAAAGTGATTAATTTGATATTATTCGTAATGACTAGTAATTAATCAATTAATGACTAGCTATTATGAATAATATCTTCGAAAACTTGGATAAAGTAAATCAGCAAATGGAAATGAACAGGGCTGACGTCTGCACAAAATTTTGAATTTATCGTCATGGGTGTCGTTTTCATGGTTTTCGAGGGTGAAAAAGCCGATGGTCCTGTCAAATTGTAAATCCAAGATGGCGTGCTCACAAAATTTTTCAATTTATCGTCATGGGTGTCCTTTTCATGGTTTTCGAGGGTGATAAAACCGATGGTGTCGTTAAAATGTAAATCCAAGATGGCGTCTGCACAAAATTTTGAATATATCGTCATGGGTGTCGTTCTCATGGTTTTTGACGGTGATAAAACCGATGGTGTTGTCAAAATGTAAATCCAAGATGGCGTCTGCACAAAATTTTGAATGTATCGTCATGGGTGTCGTTCTCATGGTTTTCGAGGGTGATAAAGCCGATGGTGCTGTCAAAATGCAAATCCAAGATGGCGTCTGCACAAAATTTTGAATGTATCGTCATGGGTGTCGTTCTCATGGTTTTCGAGGGTGATAAAGCCGATGGTGTTGTCAAAATGTAAATCCAAGATGGCGTCTGCACAAATTTTGAATGTATCGTCATGGGTGTCGTCTCATGGTTTTCGAGGGTGATAAAGCCGATGGTGTGTCAAAATGCAAATCCAAGATGGCGTCTGCACAAAATTTTGAATGTATCGATGGGTGTCGTCTTCATGGTTTTCGAGGGTGATAAAGCCGATGGTGCTGTCAAAATGCAAATCCAAGATGGCGTCTGCACAAAATTTTGAATGTATCGTCATGGGTGTCGTTCTCATGGTTTTTGAGGGTGATAAAGCCGATGGTGCTGTCAAAATGCAAATCCAAGATGGCGGCTGTACGAAATTTTCAATTTATCGTAATGGGTGTCGTTTTCATGGTTTTCGAGGGTGATAAAGCCGATGGTGTTGTCAAAATGTAAATCCAAGATGGCGTCTGCACAAAATTTTGAATTTATTGTCATGAGTATCGTCTTTATGGTTTTCGAGGGTGGTAACAAAGATGGTGCTGTCAAAATGCAAATCCAAGATGGCGGCTGCACGATATTTTCAATTTATCGTTATAGGTGTCGTTTTCATGGTTCTCGAGGGTGGTGAAAATGATGGTGCTGTCAAATTGTAAATCAGAGATGACTGAACGAAATAGAGTTAGTGCATTTATCGAGAAAGATTAAGTATGTGTGTGAATGTGTGTGTGTGTGTGATAGAGAGACAGAAAGAATGCGTGCAACCTATTTTATAGATTTTCTATAAAAATTGAGTATTTTCATATAATATTAGTTTTTATATAATAAAAACGGTGGCCTAGACCTGGGTTCACAGGCTCTTAGGTTAATGCTTTTGGATGCAGAAACCTGACGCAGTCACTTCATAGAGTTTAGTTTGTCATCCATCACTTAATATCTTTTTAATCTCTATTATTAGTAAAGAGGCTGTCATCTTTGATCGATTATGCCAGCATAACTGTCATTTGATCTAAGTTTAAGGAATTATTTTGTAAAAATTACAATATAGTATTAAATAAATGTGTATAATGTTATTTTACTATTTCCAAAAAATATTATTTTAAGCCTAAATTTTAAAATAATGTTGCAACCTTGCTTGGAACTGTGTGGCCACTGAAAATATTAGTTTTGACAACATTTAATTTCAGGTTCGAAAACTAGATGTAGTTGACGGTCCGATTTTTTAAGCTGTCAATGGCTCTAAGTGTGACGGCCCTGGTTCACACTAACAAAATTTGCAATATCTGTACAATGTACCTAAAGTGAAATACACGCACACAGATAAAACCTATATGTACCAACATCACATAAAATACTACGTTCAATTTATGTCAGGGGCCGTGAATTATTATAACGTGTATAATTTGAAAGCACATTTATCTACGAATTTAGATAAAATTAGATTAACTGAATATCATCAAAAAAAAAATACGAGATATTGTTAAACAAGTGACTAAAAGGCTATAACCTAAAGGCTAAGCCAACTTCAAGGACCATTGAATGACGTGACATTTTTGATTGCCCAACAGCTGTGACGTCTACAGTCAAGAGGGTGACAAGTTTGATCTCATTCGTTCAATTTCTTCGATTTCGATCTTCGTTGATCGTTCGTTTTCATTCATCGGTCGGTCACTGACGGGCAATCAGAATCAGTCAATGTGAAATTTTATTGAGAATTGGAATTGGAATATTTGAGAATTAATTTGTCCATTTCTTCACATTGTGGTTTAGCTGCATTGTAATAAGATTTTCCCAAGCGAGTAAGTCGCGAGTTTCTGAGTTTCTGTTGCAAATAAATAAAACCGACTCGAATCTAACAGTACACTCACAAGTAACGAGATGGAGGTAAGAAACTTGAAAATTAGAAAATAAGTGCGTGCGGCTCAACCGGTTTAATACTATGTAAATATTCTTATTTTATAGATTGAGATCTTGAACGCTTCTGGATCTAAACCTTTGGGAAAAGTTGTAGTAAATGAAAGTACTACTATTAAAAATGTGAAAGATAAGATTTACCAGACCGTAAAAAGATCTTTGCACCCCGACCGGCAAGCTATTAAATTAGAAGCTAAAGGAAAGTCGTTGAAAGATGAAGACACCCTAAAGTCTCTGAATATTCAAGAAGGGTCTAAATTATACGTGAAGGATCTAGGACCACAGATTTCCTGGAAGAATGTGTTCCTTGCTGAGTATGCTGGCCCATTATTTATTTACCTATGGGTTTACCAAAGGCCTTGGATGCTCTATGGTGAATCCACATCGGCGCCTGGGACGGTGGCTACGTGAGTATAATATTATCATCTTCCACTTAAACTATATTTAATTGTTAATAGTCAGTTATGTTTTAATAGTAGTAGACATTTACTGAAATAAATAATTTTTGTATGATGAATAATTCAAACTTATAACCCTTTATTGATCAAAGATACAAATTTTATTTTATTTATATAGTTGTAAGATGTGGGTACTTAGAAAATACCTGATTTTAATAAGAATAATAAATTATGGCATAGATTTCAGAATAGTACATAATTGATTATTAAAATTTTCAGAGTGGCGACTGCATGCTGGTCCTTCCACTATGGCAAGCGGTTGCTAGAGACCCTCTTTGTTCATCGTTTCTCTCATGGCACTATGCCACTACGCAACTTGTTTAGGAACTGCTCTTACTACTGGCTGTTCACCCTGTATGTGGCATACCACATCAACCACCCTCTATACACCGCTCCCTGCAACACCTGCTATTACATCGGACTTGTTGGATTTATTGTAAGTACCAACTTGTTCTTACATTTATAATTTTAAGTTCTATAATATGGATATGATAGTAACCTTCATGGTTATGGACAGTGGTCTAATTAAAATTAAGTAACATAATTAACAGTCTAACAACAATATGCAAAAAAATTACTGTTACATTAATAAATAATACATTTTATGCTACAGTGACTTGTACTTTTAACTGATATTTATTCATAAACGATTGGCTGAAGCAAAGAAACCAAGCTAACTTTGTGAATTATATTAGTAGTAAATACTTATATGCCCAGTATCCTCACTATAAAAGCTCCATAAAAAAGCAGGTAGTTGTCTGTGGCACACATTTTGTTTACCCACTCATTGTGAACACAACCTTTAACCTTGTACAAGAGTCAAAGTCCATTATATTGAAAATGTTAAAGACATATGCATTTTTTTATAATTAAATTAATGATAATAACATACAGCTACTTTACTTACATTTATCTTCTACATTTTATTGTAGTGCTTATCTGTGTAATTAAAAAATGTAAATAATTATCGCCCGAATACTGAAAGGCTGCTCAATTTTAAGTTGTACTTAAATATAATTAAATATTGTGCCATCTCTGTCATTTTATAAAGAATTTATAGTGACAGAACTATACTTAAGTGCAACTTAAAATTGAGTAGTGTTTGAGTATTTTGACTCTGATAATTTTATATTTATTTTAACTATCTACCTTTTTACCGACTTCAAAAAAAAGAGGAGGTACTATGTTCGGCTGATTGTTTTTTTTTTGTTTGCCGATTACTCCGCCTCCGCCGCCAAGTACTAATAATAGTTATTTTTGCTTTTTAGTTTTAAAGTTATTTTTACGAAAAATTATTGCAACAGTTTATCAAAATGTACATCAGAATTATTTTCTCACTATTCAGACCTCACAAATTATCAATGTTATAAAATAGATAATAATATGCTATATTTATCACAGTTTATAAGCAAGAAGCATAAAGTGTAGTTAGTTAAGGAGTTCTGTTTATGCAATTACTTGACAACTATGTCAGTTGCGTAACCTATTGGTTCTATACAGCATATTTTATTCATTTATGTGTATTAGGTACTTACTTAGGATACCTTCCATATTTCTTGAACGAGTATGCAGATTTGTATACGGTAGGGTAGGTTGGATATAATTTGTGACGAGAATATCTTACAAGGTTGAATATCTCAGCAATGAACATGATCTAGGAAACAATGCTAATGCGAGGAAACTTTAAAAAAAGAAAAGAAGTCCTAATCTTATCTATACTAATAATATTATAAAGCTGAAGAGTTTGTTTTTTTGTATGTTTCTTTGAACGCGCTAATCTCCGAAACTACTGATTCGAATTGAATAATTCTTTTTGTGTTGGATACTCCATTTATCGAGGAAGGCTATAGGCTATAAAACATCTCCATCGTGAAACCGCGCGCAAGTAGCTAGTACTATTATATAAAGCGGAATAGTTTGTTTTTTTGTTTGTTTGAACACGCTAATCTCCTTAACTACAAGTCTGATTTTGATAATTCTTTTTGTTATGGATAGCGCGTTTATCGAGGATGGCTATGGGCTATAAAACATCACGCTACAACCAATAGGAGCTAAGAAGAGCGTGTGAAACCGCGCGGAAATAGCTAGTTTTAAATAAAGCCAACTTTTTAAAATGAAGGTAGTAATAATATTTTTGTTTTTATTTTCAGTTCTGTGAGCTGGGTAACCTGAGCATCCACTTGCTTTTGAAGAATTTGAGACCTCCCGGTACTAAAGTGAGGCGCATCCCTGTTCCCGATGGCAACCCCTTCTCTCTTCTCTTCAACTATGTCTCTTGTCCTAACTACACCTACGAGTTTGGATCATGGCTGTTCTTTACTGTCATGACTAAATGTGCTCCAGGTAAAGAATAGAGTAATATCAAAACTTGTATTTGTTAGTTATAAAAAAAAAACTGAAGATTTATTTGTTTAGTTCAATCTCTAGAACATATTGTTATGAATTAAAAAAAAATTTTGAATAGCCCCTTTTTTCGAGGAAGGCTATAAAGGTATAAAACTTCACGCTACACAATCAATAGAAGCTGAGCAGCAAGTGATACTAGATACGTAGAAGTAGCTCCTTTCAAATATTAACAACATCGACGTAAATCTCACCTGGAATTACTTTTCGATTCACATTTTAAATGCGTAAATGTGTAAAGCGTGTTGAACTTTGAGTTCCTCTTCGTATATATTAACAGCGCATTACGTCACGAATGGTAATTATTTATGAATATTAAACAAACCTTCAATTCAAACGCGATTTGTCGACACTTAAGTTTTTATCCGTTAATCTGTATTTAATGTGGTAGTAATCGTATTTTTAATATTTTCTAGCTGGTCTGTTCGCTGCCGCCGGCTTCTATCAAATGGCAGTGTGGGCCATCGGGAAACACCGCAACTACAAGAAGGAATTCGCTGACTACCCCAAGGGACGTAGAGCTATCTTGCCTTTTATTCTATAAGTAATTAAGTTTAATATTCCAAATTATAATAGACATTCAATGTTAATTAGTTAGACGAGGACTCATCAGTCACAAATATACTCCTACGTCTTATTTCTATGGGCGGGTATTAGCTAAGACTATTATGGGTGATGGCTTATGTTTTGAATGACATGGATGCATCGGCATCAAGGACAGTTTTCGTTAAGAAAAATATTAATTTATATTTTTGCAATTATTTTTACGTTATTAAATAGGGCTTTTTCTTTATAACATTTAAACAAGTTTTACTGTTTAAAATACCCAACGATAGACCAGATATTTATGTTTAATAAAGTTTTTATTATATTTGTATTGTTTATATTTATATTATCCTTCGAATATCTTATTATTTAGCACTTATTTCATTATGAAACAAATATGCATCTTAAAACTGCTAAACATTTATACAATCACTTTTACGCGCTCAAACATTATAACGACGTAATTAAAATCAGCAGTAAGGCCGTTTAGAATTTTATTGTAACATGATTAGAACATGCAGAAAAGTAAACATGTAAAGACATAACACACAAGTTTAAAATACACTTTATTGAATATTCAACTCGTAACATAACATGCAAGTAATCATAATTATACAAGTATATACTACTTCTTTTCAGTATCGTGCGTAGGGTTTTCCTGGACACATCTTACTTTGTCAAGTAGTCGCTCATTTTCTTGCTTTAAAGCCGTAATCACTTCTTCTTTTTCCTATAAAAAAGTAATAATGCCTGTACTTATATTTTTTTGCCACAGGTAAATATGGTAGATAGATATTTGCGTAATCAATAGTTCAAAGTCCATTTGCAGATATGATTGATATGTAGTAATATGTAATTGATAATTTTAGGTAATAGTAAAGTACCTAATTTAGCACTAATAAAATTGTGTTCTGGAAAATTTGAGTTAAAAAATACTAAAGGTTAGTTCACAAAATTAAAAAAATATAACTCTTGACATTTAAACCTATACCAATTTTGATGTTTCCTCTACATGAACTTACTATCAGTGGCGTAACAAAATGCCACAGGCCCTCAGTTAGAAGGGACCCCGATCCGAAGTTTTCATCTGAACTTTTGTTTTTTATTGGAAACGCCCATCCGACGAATTTGCCACGGGCCCCGAACGGTATAGTTACGCCACTGCTTAGTTGCTTACTATTCATATCTGAATACGTCCACAGTTGAACTAAAATCCTCTTTTAGGTTGCAAAAAGGTGAGGTTTTGCAAAAATCCTCATGCTTGGTAGGCGACTTGTAATTTTGGAAATCGCAGTTGGTTCACCGATAGGATGGTACTAGCCGCCTCTTCGTTGCCGGTTACAGTTTTAGGACATACCCACTATCATTTCTATAAAAAAAATATCAGTTCATTTACCTCAATCTTCTGCTTGAACTTTTCATCAAGTTTTTCCCTATCCTCGGAGACTTGTTTAAGCTTGGCCCGCGCGGTAGCAGGCGGTATGTACCTCGCAGACAAGCCCAAGATGGACTCCATTTGAAAGCATCGAGTACGGGTAGTTTTCAACTCGGTACGCAGATTGTTAATCTCAGTGAGCAATGTGCAGTTTTCCTAGAAAATGAAGTGTAACATAAATAAATACTTCTGCTCTTTAAAAGCTACTTAATAATCATACTCTTACCGACATAAAAAAAATACTAGGTGCTCTGTAGTTCTTGCCCCATGAAACAAATGCGTTAGTTTGTTTGTTTGTATATACCTACATACTATTAATACACAATAGGATTGCTTTGAGTTTTCTCAAAAATCTAGTCAAATGGCTTTGTTTCATTGGGATTTCTTCAATCATCATAAACGTATCTACGGGTACTAACAAGTACATTGACGTGAAACAACTTACGTCCATAATCTTCCCAATGTCGCTCTTAGAGCCACCTAGAGCCTTAGCGAGCTGGCGCTTCAAGCCAGCCACCTGCTTCTCCAAGTGATCTCGCTGACGATTGAACTCGCGAACCGCCTCGTCATCCGCAATGCGACTCCGGACAAAATCAATGTCCTCGACGTATTTGTGAAATAAGGTCTAAGTAATATAAAAAAGAAAAGAGTTTTTAGTATAGTTCCCTTGATAAAGAGCTACATATAGAGAAATGAGCGATTTTTCTACCAGATTGACCAACATTATGTGACATGTAAATCGTTTAAAAGGGTATTTGTGTGTCTATAAAAGAAATATAGTCATTTCAAATGACGTTATTCTATTACGTCGTAGAATAGGAATTTGTCCAGCCATAATTTTAAACTGTCGACTAGTCTAAAACCTGAAATGACACCTAGACATTATTCAAGTTACGCCATACATCATACATGCGATATTATTTGCAAATCATATTACACGGCTAACAACACCTCTGCATTGCGCCAACGCTAATGTTACCGGCATTTTAGCGAACCTACTTATTTCTTCATAGAAACCTATAGGTTATAAGCTATCATTAGCTTTATTACCTACCCACCCATACCTATAGGTTTGATATACAATTCTCACGCTAATTCTTATAAAAAGATCCCAAGTGTCAAGTATCTAAGAAACTAATACAAATACCGTAAAACGAGGTGAGTAAATGTTTGAACAATTTCCCTATACCTATTCACCCCGTATTACTTCATCATCATCATCGACCCTTTCCCGTCCACTGTTGGACATATTATCTAGGCCATTTCAATGACGTCACTGAACTTGATTTTCATCTTTTCCTTATACAATCAACCACTACTACCCTACCACTTTACCTTTTATAAATACTTACCTACTTATAAGTTAGTACTTTTTAATATTCATACTCACTTTCACAGCCAACTTTAATTTAGAAGGATCTTGGAACTCTGCAGTCATATTGTGCAAATCAATCTTAATTTTCTTTAGCGTATTTTTTAATGTCAAATTTCTATCTGCTTCGGCCAAGAAGTCCTTTTTAGCTGAGCCCAATTTTTCATTGAGCTGCTGAATTTTAAGCTCTGTAATGGGAAAAATGAAAGGAATTTAATAAACAAGTATACATTATATCATTGAATATTGTGGTATTTTATAACTTTACCGCAGTTTGCATATCTAGTATCTACATTTGAGTATTGGTATAGACATTAGCACTACACAGCATTTTCTAACGTGACTGTAAATAAAGTAGGTGCGAAAATTAATACATTATTGTGAATACTTGATGTCTACTAGGTGTAATATTCTACAGTCTACGTCTACGTGATAGGCGAAAAATTACAACTGAAATAGATTCGACAACAATATTTTACCGCGGATCGCTTTTTTCTTTAGAAGAGTTTCCAATGAAACTTCCAACTCGAGTATGCGGATTTTTTTCGCCTTTATTTCGCGTTCTAGCGGGTCTATCTGTTATACAAAGATATTATTTGTTAAATAGTTCACAGCTGTAACTTCTTTCCTATTTAATAATGAGTGGGAAATATTGAAACAAGCCTACTTTGCGAACTCTCATTTTATCCTACAATTTCATACCAAGTTCATGTTTTGTATTTAGCAGTTTTAATTCCTCGTTCTCCATATCATCAATTTGATGAGTTAATTCTCGTATTTGCATCTCTTTTGGCTCAATCTACACCAGTAAAGTTGCCAGCATCAGCGATTTAATTATATTAGCTTAAAGGTATGTTTAAGGAATTCTGTGCAGAAATTAAATATTTGTATCGGTTTGCTCACCTGATTTTTCAGCTCTGTGATCTTGAAGTTCAATACAAACTTATACTTCTCAAGTTCCTGTTTCTTTCGTTTTAATTCGTAAATTCGCTTTTCTTTGTCTTGTATAGAGTTGTCTCTTTCTCCAATTTCTTTTTTCAAATCGGCAACATCTCTTTCAAGAGTTGAAATAACTTTTTGGAACTGTTTGTGTTCAGCTGCAAATATATCAATAAGATAGTTAGATCCGATTACATGAATAAAAATGTTTTAGTAGCATTGGTACCTTTTAGCTGTGATATTTGGTGTTTAAATTCGTCAATATCTTTGTGGGCACTTATCAATTTTTTCTTCATAAGCCCAGTTTCTCCCTTGAGTCTCACGTTAGCATCCTTCTCTTCCTTCAGCTGTACTTCGTATGCTGTGCGAATCTCGATAATTTCACGGTCAGCATCTTCTTCAATAGACGTTTTAATGGTTTCATGTTCTTTTTTCTCCATATCTGCTTGTTCTTGTAACTAAAATTATGCAAACGTAACAAAATAAGACCTAGGTAGACTCATCAACAAAAGTATTGCGTAAAGTCTAGTTAATATTCGGTTACAAAATATCTGTTAGCACAATAATTACAATTTAACAAATCAATTTCAAATGATTTGTGACTTTGTAATTATTGTCAATTAGTTTCAGTTTCGCGTACCTACTTACCTCTTGCAACATGAGCTCTTTCTCTTCCAACTTCGCTTCGAACTTATTGTTCATTTCTCTGAGAGCAAGACGTTTACTTTCAGCCAGTTCTTCAAGCCTTTGCTCATAATCTTTGCGCATTCTCGCCGTCTTGTCTTCAAGGCTCTGTAGATGAAACGAATCTTGTAACGAAATGATTATAATATTTAAGTATTATTTAATTTATCTATTGTGCTTATTTGCTAGATCTGATTACCATTTTGAGTAATTATGAACAATTCTACCTACTTACATTTTCGCATCCTAGCACAGGCAAAAGGAAGCTATATCTCTGCTTACCTTTTTAGGGAAAAAGACACGACTATAAAAAGTATATTGTAAACAAAGTTACCTGGTATCTGTCATACTCGCTAATGAGTCTGATATTGAAGTCAGCTTCTAAAGCTTGCAACGTTCTCTCATGGCCTGACCGCAACTTCGCGATATCTTGTTGAATCATGCCTATTTCGTGAGTGTGTTCGTTTTCCATTTGCTGTAATGGTGAATTAAAATGTTAATCCAGTATGAATAATCAATTAATTTTGTTACGGTTTAGCTGGAAATAAATGGCCACCTCATTCTTTTCCTTGAGTTCTTCGATAGCTGCGCAGTAGCCTTCGTGGACCTCCTTCAGTTTTTCTGCTTGTGTCGCTTCGGCCTGACGGAGCTGATAAGTGTGTTCCGTTTCGAGTTCACTCATTCGCGTACTCAATAACTAAACAAAGAAATTCAATCAATTAGTACCTAACACTTACGCATTATTTTTTCGCTTTCAATTTTGCCACTTAAACCATTTTATTAACTCGAAATGAATTCGCGATAAGTGGGCTTAATTCATTATCGATACCTACTGCGCCCTATTTACATACAAAGGCTTTGTCTGTGGCTCTTATGAATAAGCAAGCATCAAAATAAATATGAACACCAAGTTGTGTGTCACGTTTAAATTATATTGTTTCTTCCAATTCTATTTAACTCGTACTTACATTAATATTGTTTATTTTCTCCTGTAGATCTCTCTTGCTAATTAATATTTCTTTGGAGTACGCAAAGTCCTTGTCTAGAGCAATTGCTCGACCATCAGCGTTAGTGAGTCTCCATAAGCATATGGAGGCGTCTTCTGCGACTGATACCAAAGTCTGATCGTCATATGAAAGTGCTATACAAGTTACTTTCGTATTGTGCATGTGAAACTCGTTAAATATAGGTTTATCTAGTAATGGTAGCTGTATGGAGGTGATGCCACCGAGGCCTCCGCTGATGAACAGCATCAAGTCTGACCGTGATAGTACCACGGTATCAAGTGGAGCGCCAATCAATCCCATATTTCTTCTAATAGTGTTAGCACCAATTTCTTTAATTTCTCCGTCTGATCCTACACCGTAAGATGTTTTACCGTTCCTGTGAAAAGAAGCTGGTTACCATTCAGTGTTCGTTTTTTATTTTGTATGCTAATTGCAATATTTCTTACCCATTTACGGCACATCCATAAAATTGGTTAGTTTTCAATATAATTTCTCCGACTCTTTGTCCGGTGACCATGCTCCATTCGTACACCGCGCCTTCGGTTCCACATGATATCATTGTTAAATCATTGGCTGACCATGCTAGACACGTAATCTAAACAAGAAATTAAGCGAAAGTAGTCTTTATTCTTTTAACATAAAATAATTGTACAAATAATAAGTATCTGACCCTTCCATTATGTCCTTTCAAATTAAAAATATTCATAAAAGACACGGATGAAAACACTTGTATGACTTGACCGTTGACGGCGGCAAAAATCTGTCCATTCGTACTAAACTTGGCTTGTTTACAATTCCTTATGGGAAACTCTCTCATCACTTCAAAGTCGTCTATCAAAACCACCATGAAACGAAGCTTATCCGAGAAACCAACTATAGCAAACAGACCTGAAAATAATAGCCAATAGTAGATAGCATCGTCGAATTAAAATTCTAACTGCATAATACCATAATACTTAGCAGTATTAGTTAAGTGGATAACCACTGAACTGTGACTTTTTATAAAAATATAAACAAAATTATTGCCTAAAATACTTTTAAATAAAAAAATCTAAAATACTTCTTGCCTTTTTGTAAGAAGGCATCTTAATTAGCTTACCAGTAGGATGTAAGGACACGCAATGGATTTCTTCCTGATACAACTTTATCAACTCGACGTCATCAGTCATGTAGTTCCAAATTCTTATACTCTTGTCCAATTCTCCTGACGTCATAAATATGGGCTTCCAAGCGCACATGGACAATGAGTTTATCCGACCGTGATGCATTGCTGGTCCCAGTTCTATAAATGGTATTTCTGGATTCTGAAAGACGAAAGTATTATTAGAAAACCAGTAGGAATAACCTGCCTAAGTCAAAAATATTGTACTTTTGAATCCAAAAACTCAAGGTCATATCGAGGTTGATGGGTGTACCTGCAACATATGCTGCCCGAACAACTTGACATAATACAGCTGTTTCCTCAATGTTGTGATAAGCAGAGTTTCTTGATTGGGGTCAATCGTAATATGTTGTATTTCGTCGAGAGTAGACCACAGCGGGTGTTCACGAGTATGTCTATATATTAGAAATAGGTTCAATAAATTTGATTATATAGACTAAAAATTAAATTGGATGGTATGAAAGAATATAGATACGCACTTGTAAGATTTTTTAGAAATTCTAAAAACGTTTCTCTTTCTCCAATGATGAAGCGTTTCTTTTTCAAACATGTGAACGTAGCCTGGGCCACAACCGAAAACAAATCCTATAAAAACAGTCGATAACATTAAAGGATATTCTCCGAGGTATTTAAGAAACAAAATATTATATTTCTTTCTGAAATTACCTTTGGCAAAGTTCACAAAGCATGTTACGGGATAGCTTTCTTCTTCATCTTTGTCAGTACTACTAGCAGAGTCTTGCTTACTTGAAGTGCTCACTCTGTCTTCTTGTTGCTCTTGTCTAATAGAACGAACATTATAAAGTATAGGTATTCAATCCAGATAAAGACACGGCGAAGTGAGACTTTCCATAGTTTTAAAATTACTTACTCTGCCTCTACCTTCTTTAGCGACATTTCCATAACTTCAGTTGCTCGAAATATGCAGTTCTGTCGGAGTTCGCCATTTTCTACCATCATGATCATTCCGTGCTCCGTACCGAACATGATGCGGTCCGGCGTCAACCACATGCAGCTAGTTATGTTGATCTACTCGCAAGTGGAACAAACGAATTATGTTATTTACTAGCACCGTAATATCAATGATATAATGCTCTGTCGCGGACATTACTAAACGCAAATTGTAGTAAGTAGTAAATATGAGAAGAGATGCTATCTTACGTTTTCAGCCTTGCACCATCCCCATTGTCTCCAGACTGTTTCGGAAACGTTCATTATGCGGAACGTGTATGGTCCAGTTATGACTACTAAAGTAGCATCCGTGGGGTTACATTGCACCTGATAAAATAAGATTATTAATAAATATGTTTCAATTTAACAAAGGTACCTAATAAAATTGAAGAAAAATGTCTTACGCTCGAAACGATGCCTTGACCGCTAGGATTTTGCGCTTTAGCGTGGCTCTCAACCTTACCCTTGTCCCAGTTGTAATAATACAAGTACCAGTCTGGTTCTCCCGTAATAGCTACGAGATATTTCGAGTCGTAGGTAAACTGTATACAAGCGAATTCTCTCGCTTGCGAGTTTTCGAAGGGGACGGTCAAAATCTTTCGACGTTTGTAAGTGGTTAAGTCGTAAATTGTGATTATAGGCTTTTGACCTTCCTCGGCTATCTCGTTTAATGCGAGCCATCGTCTGCAATGTGGACAATACAATATTTAAAAGAATCACATCACTATCATAATTCCAATAAGTAGTAACTGTGTCCAAACTTCTTTGGCCCTTACCTATTTGGTGCAAGAACCAAAGATTTGATAGGTTTGTGTTTATCTTGGAGTCTGATAAACTTTTGTTTCTTCTGGAGATGATTATGAATCACAATGACACCACCAGCGGGGTACAGGATCTCAGATTCAGTCAAGTAATGGGCATTGTACCTGTGCATCAAAAAAGTTATACGTTATTTCTTTGGTTTTCTTAACAGAGTACCTAAAGCTATTTAGTTTTAATCGGTGTGAGATTAATTATTCTTTCGAAATAAAAACAATACATCTTTATTAATCTAGCCATCATTAACACAGTAGTGTTACCAGTCCCCTACCTACTAACGTCCTCTGAGAATCTATTGTTTGTTACCTTGGATTGTCAATACCTACACTTGCAAATAACAAACACAGTTTATTAGGTCCTAAAACAAAATTATTATCAATGAAGCAACATTTAAACATTTTAGTACTTACTGAATATCTGTGCTTAGTCCATAAAATATACGAGCCGAAATATTAGGCGGTGATGGAGTTACCATAGCCATTTTTGTTGATAAATATAATTATACTAAATCTACTATCAATAATTAATTTTTAAACTTCTATATAGTAAGTACAAAGAATCTCTCCTTCCTTCAGATAAACACGTCAAACAATAACAGTTGCCATAGATACACGGCTTAGGAAAACTATTTGGTCGAAATTATGGGATCACGACGATCACGATGATCTAACACGGTACAAATTGATTGCGTCCACGGCATTAGCCCACACACCTATATTTTTTATGTGAGGAAGTAACTAATCTAGTTCGTAATGCTTTGTAAGTACTAGAAGATGATCCATAAAGTACATAATGAGGATTAAAATCCTGTCCGTCCCGAAGTTTAAATATAGCAACAAAAAAGGACATCAAAGAGCAAACGTCTAGTGGATATGTACAAAGAAATACAAGCGGCATTGCTCATTTACGTACAAAAGAAACTGCGCATTCACCATTTAACAGAGGACCGTCTGATTGGACCTCAATGTCGCTTGTAGTGGCGCATCCTCTGTGCAATTTCCGAGATAAGTCGCTGCTTCCTCTGCCCGCCGCTGCCAATACAAATCATATTTACACGTGCCATCATATTTTGTCATTACATCTTCACGACCATCCTCCATCTCATGCAAATAACATTGTTACTATAAAATATTCATAATTTTTGTATTTTTGCACGCAACCAGCATTCAGGTAAACATCGAGTGAAGGTTGCATTCAACATTAGCGTGGGTAACACTGAACGCAACTGAAATTAGGTACTTAAACAGACAGACATTATTTTATGACAATCTACAAACAGAAACCAGTACAAAGTAATGAATATTGAGAATTATGAGACATGAATTTTGAAGACAATAAACAAAGTAATGGATTATTCGGAAAGGTGACAACGTATAGGTAGAGTCACAATTTATGCTGTAAGAACTTGACTAGATGAAAACCTTAAATCTAGTAGAATTAATATCAGCAATCAGCTCTAGCTATTCGTCAATTAACTGAAAAGAAAGGAGAGAAAAGAAATGAACAGAAAGCACACAACTACAACACCCCCTACACTACACGTAGCTTCATACATTTCTACTTTTACGACAAACTGTGAACAGTGAGAGTAGAATTTAAAGGCCGTTACACCCAAAATCGAAACTAGAATTTATTGTAACAAATCACATGGGTCACGAACAGCAAGGCTATTCTGTAAGATGTCAATTCGAATTCTCGAAGTGAACTCGATCGCAGTCGCCGTATCATTGGTTGTGAGAATAATCTCGACCAATGACAATCGAGAACGCGATCGAGCTCACTTCGCGAGTTCGAATTGACTTCTTACAGAATTCTCTAGCAGTTCTAGATGCGAAAAACTTTCATACACAAATCTCTAAGACTCAATAACAATAAACTTCGCAATATGTATTGTTCGGCACACTTCTTCGGCTGCTAATTTCGCGGTCCGATTTTTATTACCGTCTTCGCAAGTATTACATGTCAAACTCCATAGAAGCTTTCTCTTTGTGTCTTTTAAGAGCGTCTTCAATTGTTTCAGTTAATTATGGAAGTCATAATTATTTTAGACTTATTGTATCTAAATTATCTTGCAAAGGTTTTAATAGGAACAATGTTCCGTTTAATTAGGTAGGAGGGGTAGATTATAATAAAGAAGGAAAAACTACGTTAATGTCAATGATAATAAAATAATATGTTAAAGGAATAATAATAAAAAATTACTAACTAGGTATGAACAATAAATACCTGATAAACCATTTTTTGACTATGAAGAATACGTAATTACGTAATTTACAAAACGTCAAAATCATCCCAATACTCAAATTATACCAACACGGGAGCTTGGGAAGTCCCTGTTGTAAAGGAATGTAAACAATCACCCGCAGACCGCAAACTGGATTACCTACTGATGCAGATTTATAGGCATAAAACCGCAATTTTATAGAGCTCCATCATATTGCATAGAAAGTGGGCACTTAGATAACTGTTTGTTAACTAGTGACCTAGTCAATTAGTTAGCGATATTGGTCTCGATGATGCAATAACAACAAGACAATTAGATATTTCCTAATGGAAGCTGCATATTTGAGAATTAGATCAATAGACGAAAACATTAAAGAATTTTTATCTGTATAAAACCTGCTCCTAAAGTTGCAGTAGTGGAATGAGCATTAAAACCTTTTTTCACCCATTTATGTATATAATAACCTATATCAGATCCTGTGATCAGATCAGATCAGTTATGCTCTGCGTAATCCTTAATAACCTTGACAAAGGGCACAAATGAATGCTAAAACGTGCCTACATAATTATATAAATAGATCTGTTTTTAAACTATTCTAACGGTTTCTACGTATAAAGGAATTAAAATATTTTCCTGTACCTTTTGTTCAAAGTGCAAGCATAAGTACAAACTACAGAGAACAAAAGCGAATGATGACTAAGTCTTTTTATGTTTATTGCAGGCACTAAGCCAATTCTGTAACATTTTACTTCGCCCATCAACTACAGGAGATCGATAGAAAAATAATGGATAACCTACTATGAACTCTGCATGCGAGCGTAGTAACTGGTAACTAATAGATACAAAAATATTAGAAACCTACCGCTAGAAATAGAAACTTCAATTTGAAAAACCATTCGTGTTAATACTCTTCAAATTAATCATCAATTGCAAGAAGCAGTTATAATAAATCGAATGCTTCAGTCAGCTATTGAGGCCGTAGCATTAAATGTATTGCCGTGAAAACTTTACCCTCATCCAAACGCTAGCCTTGTTGTGATTTATACCAAAGAAAAGAAATAATTCGTAAATAACTGTAGACCTATGTATAGTGTAACACATTTTCGTCGTCGTGGTGTCGATCAATACCACGAAGCCAGGTCATTTGTGGTGGTATTTTAGTTGTGGTGGCCCCTATGCTCGCGTGCGCGGTTCGAATCAGCCATCTTTCTCTGAAATAACTACGGCATTGGTAATTATAAACGACGAAAACATCATTGTAAAGAATACGATACGTTTTAGTATAAAGGTTTCTATTAAAATTAAATAAACTTTTAGATAATTGTCTTTATAAAATTCTTTGAAAATCACGATGATTAAAGGAAACCCAACAATCCAAATAAATTTTTCCTGCCTCTGCCTCCGTACATTTAAATTTTTGTGCCCAACACAAAACACTGAAATGCTAGACACGTTTTTCTACAGTTTGTACCAAAATATTTTCATGCAGTTATGCTTATGATTAAAGTAGCTCGAGTAATGTAAATATTTCAAGGCGCTATTAAATTTTCCGAAGTTGACGCGACCTTCGAGAGCTGCGGGTGACGCGGCTCCTGCTTCGATGGCGTCATCTTAAGCAAATATACCTCACTGTTTACGGTAACCACCTTATGACACGTGTCGTAATCGTATAGTAAAAATATTATCACTAAACAAATGCTAGGTTAAAATAGAAGCCGGATGTTATAGGGCATTAACACATTACCCAATTCGTTCCTTACGAAATGCCAGTAAGCAATGTACCTACCTAGATACACCATAATCGACTTCCAGAGTTTCATGACAGTAGTGAATGACGTTGTAAAGGAATTGGCTGTGTAGTTTGAAGAATAAATAATTATTGATTGCATGGAAGCAACTTTCTTTTAAGTGAAGTTCAGTTAACGGGTGTGCATTGAAGCAGCATTGTTGGTGGTGCATCGAATGGCGTGCTCGATGTTCGATGTCGGTGGTGTGATCGCGTCGCTGGATGACGCTGCCCGCGGGCAGTCGCCTCGAGTGCCGCGGTGGCTAGTCCGCTAGTATGCCTCAGCCCACGACGCTGAGCGCCGCGACGCCCGGCGATCTCTCGGCTCACAACGCCGCGAAAACAAACACCGTAATTATCTCGCCGCGATAAAACCATACAACGCGCTATCAGTTCTTGATAATTCACCAGTGTGATAACTGATAAAGTAAGTGGTTGACGCCTAACGTACTGTGTATTATGTAAAACATAAAAAGTGAATTCCTAGGAGACATAATTATGGCTACAGCAACTGCTCCTCGTAAGACTATCTCAATCTACGACTACCCGGAACATTTGAACCCCTTTCATGAGGAGGACAATCACAACAAGATTCGGTTCTGGACTCTGGGCAAGCGACTAAACCGATCGAACAGCATCAGTTTCTCTGGCCTGAAGGACCTGAAGAATTCTTGGTAAGTTTACAAGTTCAATATTTTTGTTTTATAAACTTGCTCGGTCTGTCCTATGAATACCATCAATGTAAACCTTGAGAATTTGTTTCAGGCTCATTTATTTCTACATTGGAATAATAATTACATTTCTAACGGTGTGTTCCAAATAATGAGTTCTATTGACAGTTGTAGCTAGAGGCTATTAGTGTATCAATAAATAGAAAAATAAAGTTCAGACTGGGCACCTACTTAACTACAATTTGCATTCAACTGTTCAATGAATAATGCGTACCTACCTATCCTTTAGTTTACAAAATGACTATATTGTTATGAGAAACTCATGAGAATCAACTAAATATAGATTTTAAGTCAGGTTTTGGTTTGGTCATGCATACAAAAATCTCACGATGATTCATGAAGAATACAAACAAGATAAAAGTGTCAATGTGTGCTGTGTTACGAAAGAAAAATTTTAATTCTAACTTTAATCAGCACTTTTTGGGAATATTAAAGACTTCTTATTCATTCATTAGAATCTGAATTAGAATTGTTATAAGGTCTGAATTCGTTTGCGGAGACGGGGCACATTTCTCGTAACCGCAGAGGCCAAAAGTCCATGAGTCTTAAGTCCTTTGCGGTGTCTAAGTTCAGTTCATCGTCAAATTCGCTGGGATGCAGTTGAGGTCTTTTTTCAAGGTCAAAAATGTACTTACGTATTATGTTCTACGATTATGCAGGTGTTTTAATGTAGGTACTAACACACACCCAGATAATTTATCTAGATAACAATCAAATTGGTAATCAATAATTTTAAAGACCTTGTCTCCAACTTTTCTTTATTCTTTGGGAATTTTTGGTCGTAAAAGACAGTCCTACTTACTATCTACTTATGTAGGTAATTCGTCGAAAACACAATAGAAATAGTTCCCCCCTCAGTTCACTATCTATGGAAAACACCCAAAACTGGATTTAGCAGAAAATGATAAATATTAAGTTTAAAGTCATGGGCACTGAACAAATAGGTTTTTTATACATACATATATCTATCTATCAAAAATAATAGATAAATGAAATGATGTCGTCAATTATAGTGAAGTCATCAGCATTAATCTATAATGCAATTAATATTCCGACTCAAGTATGACTGGATAGAAATTCACCTCGGGGCATGTAGGTACAACTGCTACATTTTTAACTACCTATCAGAGGCGTCTGCAATTTTAAAGATATCGTTGGTAAACTTCTATGAAAGTATGAATCATTGATTAAATGTTATGTGAAGTGTATGTAATACGCTACTTGGTAAACTAGTGCATGCTACTTATAAGAATTTATGCCTAGTAGAAAATGCTGATGGCGAAAAAATTGCTAAATTACTTACTACAAATGTAAGCAGGTAACTTCATAGTCAACAATAGTTGAATTAAATATGTAATTATTTATGTAGTACCTACCTTTTATGTTTTTCTTTAGCCATTCAGGTCTTAGAGATCAAGGGCAAACTGATTCATGTAAAACTATCTTGAAATCGCGTAGGTTGTTCTTAACGGAACTACACACAGTAAAGGCCAAAGTGACAATTCTGATTACTACTATATGCTGTGTTTAACACATTTAGTATATTGAGCAGAGTTGTAAAATATTTAGATCCAAATGCTAGGTTGGTTCTTACCACAGATTATCTATATATGTGGTTCTTACCTACATTCTTTTGCAGTGTGATCACAGCATACACTTGTCAAACACCAAGCGGTCACCGGTGACCGCAACCTATTGTTCTTTAATTGTGTCTATAATGACGGTACTCCACGAGTTAACTCTTCCCATGAGTGTTGAAGAAGCCCATTATCGGACTACAGTCGCGGAGAACCTAACGAGTGACCGGGGCTCCGGATCGACGTGCAGGAGAAGGAACGGGGTGGTTTTTTAGTCAGTAAGAGTCTGACACTCCCCCTCGCCTCACCCAGGCGGGAGCAGTCATTCGATGATTTTCACTCGTTTTAAAGTAACAATTATCGGACTACACATTTGATAGAGACCAGACAGCAGCGCTCAACCTGACCCTTTTACACTATGATCTTCGACCTGCCTGCCACAAGCAGACATTATGGAAAATCTTCATAAGTTGACTGCCTCGTTGGCCGAGTGGTCGGAAGTCCAACCTCGGGTTCGATTTCCGAGCAGGGCAAAGTAATACTAGGTTTTTTTTAAATTCTCAGTAGTTGCACGGAGTCTGGAATTGTGCCCGGTATATGGCAATAGGCTCACTCTCTATTACATGGGGCTCATGACATATATAGATAGTGAAAAGTGGGTGTTACATTGTACAGTGGTATAATCTACACTTCTGCCTACCACTTCGGGGAAAAAAGGTGTGATGTTATGTCTTCATGAGTAGCCTAAGTAGGGGATATCCAATAATCCAGTATTGGACTGCCACGGCCTGTTGATATTGTATATTCGTTCTTGTTTAAAAAGTTTCTTCTATCCTTTACTTACCTTATTTGCTTTTATGCTTTAATACTTATTCGTGCAACTACGTAGAAATTAAGTCTGGGAAATCCCATGACGATTTTTAATTATCAAATCTTTCGGAATCTCGTCTGACTAACTAATATTACAATATGAGGCAAATCCGCTTTTAGCTAGAACCCAATTTCAGGCTTGAAAGATCTCGAAAACCCCCAAACCCAAATAATATTATATATAGTCAGACAAGATTCCGAAGTCTAGACTCGAGATTGAGAATTCTTCTTCTTCGTCTTGTGGTGCCACTTCGTTCACGAAGATTGGCCGTCAACTTTTTGAATTGACAATATAAGTATGCGTTAAAATAATATTATGTTTTGATCACCTAATTTACAGATTAATTTCACACTTTATTACTGAAATCAAAATCGATAAATCACGTAATATCAAACTGTTTAAATATTGCGGACACTTCCGTGTAAGCAATAAAGAAAAATATTTATCTAATTGGGCTATGATTAAAGTGCGCTGCGATAATTTACCGGCCATAGGTACCTACTGAACTATCTCGATTGGTAAACTAATTACTAATAGGTCTTTATTTTTTGTCCAGTAAGGTTGATACTGGCAATACCTTTGTAATAATTGTCTTAGTTCAAAGCAGTATTGTCTTATCGAGTAACTAAATAATGTCTTGGAAGTATCGTAACTTGTTTGTTTTACCATATCATCTGGTGAATAATGCAATTGTCGTCAGCTGTTTATTTATAGGTTTGAAGTCACTATTGCTCGCTCTGGGATATTGAGTTGTACGTGATTGACATCTAATTTAACTGTTTACTAACACGTGGTGAGATTCCAGTGTATATTCCGTACAATTACTATGCCAGAGTCCGAAAGATTGGGAAATAGGTACGTTTTGTTTACTGCCTATGAACATAAGTTGAGTGACAACCTAATCTATGTGAGTGATATTAATTAGCAATGCACTTAATCGTAAACTAATTTCGGAAAATACTTAGATGCATTTACATTTACGTAGTTAGGCATTAAACTTTATGTTCCTAGTTTTGCCGAGTTTTGCACTAAATATCGCTTCTATTTACATTATATTGAGTAAATGACTTTACACCAGTCTAAAAATATACGGGGCATATAGTCATTAGATATAGAAATATGATTAAATATAATTTGTCAGATACTAGTATCAATCACACTGCATTGGCACAATCTGATACTATTCGCAATTGAGCTGAATCATCACTTACGTAAGAATTAAAAACCTAGGTTATTTGAAATGTATGAAATGTCCTTAGTCGATACTTAAACAAATATTGAAGAAATACAAGTGTGAATGTTTCAAAATGACGAGATTCTCGAGGTTACTCAAGTAGGTCTTAAGATGGTGACACAAAAACGTAGGACGGACTCACTCTGAAATCGGGACAATTTACTAATCTTGTGGGTGAATCCTCTTTGGTAATGTTACAAACTTATAGAGGTCGTGGTAAAATAACAAAGAAAAATAGTTACTACCACGAGACTGATTCTCGGAGATCCACTCATTTTTGAATTTATCAAATTCCTAATTATCAAAATACTTCCTTACTCATCCCTTTTTCTGGGAAACAAATGACATGTTATCTGTAAAGATGACTTTTTAATCTGCTGTTAGTGATCAATGCAATCCCTTCGAGCCAGTGATTTTCAGTCAAATTATTCAGCAGCCAAATGCCACAGTGTTTTGTATCTATGACGGTCATGGCCTATGACATTATAGGAAGCGACGTAGATTGTAGACACAGTTTTATGTAATGTAAACATGATTATTATGTTTGTTTGTCTACTTCTTCGCGGAATAATAAACTTGAAAAGAACGATTTATTATCTGCACAATTGACTCAGCCATACCTAACGTGCGCTTTGGAGAATAGCAAACATAATGAGATGTCACTTAAAAATACCAAAAACTTACCTAGCGGACAGCACTAACGTGACCAATTTGCCCTACCGTATGATTCGGATTTTAATTGTTCTGATTGGTAAACAACATTAATACGGTTATTACACTTTCTGTAGCGGTGAACCACTTAGAATTCAGGACACTTGTGCGTGAGTAATTCGTATTGTTATATAAACTGAACACTTACATATGTTATATTGTGCCTATTTACAGGTCTTAAATACACATTTGTTACACTGATTAAGTTGACATTTAATCAAATACTACATGAGTACTTCATAATTTGTTTTCAGACTTTTTTAGCCTAATCTTCATTATATCGTGGAACTCCCTCTTCTGATGATGAAGAAGGAGACAGTCTAATGTTTTCATACTTGCGTTAATTACCTAATTTGGATTTTGTTATAAACAAACAAAACATACGGCGATGTAACCGAGGGAAGATTCCATCGGTTCCTTTAACTTTTATTCAAGAGATCCTATCACTGTATCTTCTAGTGGCTAGTGCCATCTGCACTAACCTACCTAACCATAAAATATTACGGATTCCGTTCAAAATATTTAGGCTAAACATTAAACTGCTGCATAC